GCGCGATCGCGAAGTCTGAACGCGCTCTAACCCATGTTTCGAAAGTTTGAAGGGCATATACATCCATATGTGTGCATCAGCGAGTATTCTTCATGTGTTAGATAACTGACGGGCTTAGAAGGATGGAAGTACAGAAACGCTATTTTCTTGTCTTCCTACGATCGTTTTCCTTTAGTTTTGGACAAGGACAATCAACATCAGAAAAGCTGTTATTTCTGAACTCACCTTCTGAGTATACTGAACACAGGAGTCAAGTCGAATTAGAAGCACATAATTATAAAGTACCATCCTGTATACAAATATCCATGCACACAAGCGCCTTGGCCAATGCAGCTACTATTTTTAGAGCATGCGCACGGTCTTTAAGTTCAGTTACTTTACTTTTGTAATTAACCCAATAACTTAGCGCCTATACTTTCCAGCCAACCTACTCTGGTGCTGCGAACGTTCGTAGTTTGCGATGTGAGGAAAGAAATTAGCGAGTGGATTTGCTGTACCTATACCCTACAACCATTATAGACACTACATCAGCAACTGACAACTCTGGAGCAACTGACTCGACTGGACTTCCCCTAGTCAATCTGTCATGATATTGACAGATTGACTAGGGGAAGTCCAGTCAACTTGCCTGGATTCGTTTACTCTTGAATTCTGGAGAACTGTCACAATCTCAGGCAGCTGAACTTGTGTTATTCTTATTAAAGCCAAAATATGGATGATCAAACTTGAAATGCGTGAGAATTATGAAGTCGCTTAATGGCGGTGAACGAGCGAGGGTATTCACTTAGGAGATTTTGTTCGAAATGCTGAAGAGAAGAAAGAGTAGATTCTGTGCTTGAGCTTTCCGATGAGAAAAAAGGCTAATGAACGTCTAGAAGCTTATTATCCTTCCTTTTTCACAAGATTGTCCCTTGTAGCCGAAGTTTCTGACCAGAGAAGAGCGTGCCGCACTTGCTCTTCAACGTCGTGCCGAGCAGGTAGAACGTATGAAGGAAAACCAGAGGCGCATTGATGAAAGTCGCAGACAATTTGAAGCTGAAGCGAAGAGAGCAGGTAATTTTTATTCGTTTTTCCAGTGATGTAACTCGTAAGCATAAATATTCAAGAGGGACGTGATGGCCGCGATCGAGACCGTGATCACCGTGACCGTGATCGCAGCAGGGAACGAAGAGAGCGTAGCCGATCCCGCGACCGTAGAGAACGAGAGAAGCGAGAGAGAAGTCGGAGCAGAGAAAGAGATCGAGATCGAGATAGACGGGCAAGGAGTAGGAGTAAAGAACGGGACAGGGATCGACGGGATCGAAGCAGAAGTAAGGAAAAACGAAGTGATCGTGACAAGGATGGGACACGTTCCAACCGCACCGAAAGCAAGGTGAGTATGCTGATTAAGTTTCTTTGTAATTTCATTGAAAGGACTTTTACAGGAAGAAGATGACACCTTTGATCCAAATAAGCTCCAAGAAGCAGTCAAAGTTCGGTATCTTGGGTTGCAAAAAGAGAAAAAGAAAAGGGGAAGACGCTTGCATGAACGGAAGTTCGTTTTCGATTGGGATGCATCGGAAGACACCTCGCAGGATTACAACAAACTCTACCAGAAAAGGCATGAAGTGAGCAGATAAAAAGATTTCTGCGGTTACGTGCTCTTTCTCACTCACTCACTTCAGTATCATTGTTAAGGTTCAATTCTTCGGACGCGGCGCCATAGCGGGTATTGATGTGAATACACAAAAGAAGACTAACAATGTTTTCTACCAAGCTATTATGGAGAAACGTCGAACGGAAGAGGAAAAACAAATGGAAAAAGCGCGGTAAGCTATCTAAACTGGTTAAACTTTCAGCTGCATCCGAATGCTCTTCAATTCTGTCATTACTATTTAAGGCGCGAGAAGGAGAAAATCAGAGAAAGAAAGTCTGCACACGATGATCGCCACTGGAAAATGAAACCGCTTGATGAAATGACTGAGCGAGATTGGCGCATATTCCGAGAAGATTTCAATATTGCTATTAAGGTTGGTACGGAAAGGGTCTGGCTGTGTTCGATGTTTGACTACCGGATTTATGTTGCATGTTTAGGGTGGTCGTGTGCCAAAACCTTTACGAGCTTGGGAAGAGTGCGGTCTCCCTGATGAGGTCTATCAGGCCATTAAGAAGGTAATCTAATCTCAGAGCTGCGTTCTATTCGGCTCCCAAAAGAAATCATTTCTTTCAGGTTGGATACGACGAACCAACCCCAATTCAGCGGCAGGCCATTCCCATTGGTTTGCAGAATCGAGATATCATCGGAGTGGCTGAAACGGGTTCCGGAAAAACCGCAGCATTCTTGATTCCACTTTTGGTTAGTCACCTGTAGAATGTTATAGAAATTCATGATTTCTTCGAAATAATCAGTAATGGACGGTTTCTAACTACGGAAACCATAGTCAATCGCAGATTACTTGAAATGTGGTACTGTAGGTAAAAGTAAGAATTCCATATTGAAGTGAACTGTTTTCGACAGAAAAAAAAACAAGTCAGGGTCAGACAAACAGTGAGACGTGAGAGAAAGAATTCATCTCTACTAGTGTTAGCTTTTTGCAAACAGAACTCGGCTTTCTCAATAGTTCATTATTGAAAACGGTAAATTCCTTATTTTTCAGTCCGTGGAGTAGAGCTTAGTGAACACACCCCGAACATTCTTGGTTAATTCCTCAATATTCGAAGAACTCATTACCCAGTTGCACTTGACGTAATGAAAACTTTTCCCCGTAATGTGATGTCGTATTCCTGCCGTAAAATAAAGGAGGGTTACCCAAACTGTTTGAAAATTCATATTGCTGGATCCTTGGCGAAACTGCTGTCGACTAGATTTTTTCGGCTCAAATCGCTCGCGCTTTGCCGATTCAGCTATTTATGTTTGCTTTGTTTGACAGATTCGCTTTTCTCGAAGTCTGACAATAGTTCGCTCTTTGTGATCATCAGAAAACAGAAAATTTAAAACAATGAAAATGTTAGATTGGGCAGAATTGGAAAAAAGAGAATGTGCGGTGGTATTGTCATTTTGCAGACTGCTAAGTGACTACATCTGAAAAATTCGGAAGAATTTTTCTGCGTTTTCAAGCTGAAATTTTGCATTGACATGCGTATTCACATGTTGCTCAACACTTTTTTTCCTCTTCCGGAACCAACTCTCTCGAGTTTTTCAAGGTTTCTTAGATGGCATTATGGTTTTGCAGCACACCCTATATAGGACATAATTTGAAGATTAGCGACTGAGTGAACCCCTACTCAACTCCACTTCAGTGCAGTTCCAAAGTTGATTCTATTCTTCACCATCCGCAAGAATGGGTTGGC